GGAGGATCGCTTGAGCCCAGGAGTTTGAGGTTGCTGTGAGCTAGGCTGATGCCACGGCACTCTAGCCCGGGCAACAGAGCCAGACTGTGCCTCAAAAAAAAAAGAAAAGAAAAAAAAAAGATTTGAAATGTATATTTTTCAACTTTTTTTTTCCTTTTTGAGACAGTCGCGCTAAGTCACCCCAGGTAGAGTGCAGTGGTGTCATCATAGCTTATTGCAACCCCACACTCCTGTGCTCAAGCAACCCTCCTGCCTCAGCCTCCCCGAGTAGCTGGGACTACAGGCGCATGCCATGACACCCACCTAATTTTTCTATTTTTTTTTTTTTAGTAGAGACGAGTGTCTCTCCCAGCCTCAACTTTTTTCTATAAAGAAAAGAGATCATCTACCTATGTCCTTAAAAGGCAGTAAAGTAGAGTGGACTTTAATTCTGTATCTCATCGTATCTCTGAGATCAAGTGACAATATGAGACTATATTTTCTTCAAAAAGTATATAGAAAAAAAAAAGTATATAGAGCTACACAAATATTATAGAAGGAGGCATTGTAGTTAAAAATAATGAACGTAATTACTACCAGCTTTACCTTTCTACATGGAAACTTCCAACAATCCATAGATTCTCAACAAAGAGAACAAAACTCTACGATTACTACCGCATAGTCTAGGTGAGAGACAAATGTCTGTCTTACTAGTTTACTTCCCAGAATCCAAAGAATGAAGTATTAGAAAGTTATGATATACCTGATATGGCATATAGGATCTTCCTTTCTGAGTAGGGGTTATAGCCATGGGATATGAGCCACTGTAAGCACATGAAATATCCATTGCATCTAAAGAAGTAATGTTCATTTTGGATGGTTCTGAGTTACTGGATGCATTAATATGACTGTTGAAACTTCGAAAAGCTACCGCATTTCTTTTAGAGGTTAATGTTTTCAATACCACCAAAGAAGGAGCTAACATTTTTTGGTTACTATCCTGAACAGCCGGGTTCTCAACACCTCTTGGCAAGGTATTTTCTTGGCAGTCTGGTGATACAATAATTAGATCTTCAATATTTGATTCTTCAAAGGAGAACTCTTTGATGCTTTTATCTGGATCTAAGGACTGCCTTTCTAATGGACTCTCCATTATAGAAATTCCAGGTAAAGATGGGTCAGAGTTCATATAAACACTTGTAGGAACTCTTTCATCATCAGAACATAGAAAACTGGAACTTAAATAGTCCTTCTTATTATTCTTTTCACAGTCTTCATCCAGTTCACACATAAGGTTTTTTGCTATCATTGGTATAGGTAATTTTTCTGGTGTTTGTTGTTTATCAGTAAACGAAGTGACAATGTTTTCCTTATTGGCACAGTCATTTTGTTGACTTCTATGTACTGACAGCCTAAGGTCCTGGACTTCCGCTGTTAAACCTGTACTTGGATCTGCATAACAAACCATCATTTCATTACTCTGCTTATGCTCGGCACAATTTTTTTTATTCTGTATAATTTTCTGACAAGGACTGGAGTCAACCAACTCAAAATTTCTTTTTAAACCTCTTTTCCCAAGGAGCTCTTCAGACATACCACCAGAATCTACAGCCCACTGATGTGCCTGATGGAAAACAGACTGTCTTGTGTCAGTGGCTGTATTTATATTATTTACATCCAGTTCTCTTGCTTCCCAAGAAACTTCTCCAGAGAAGCATTTTTTAGCAAGGTTTACGCAAGAGCTTCCAGCAGCAGGAATGGCGCTGCTGTCATGAATGGGAGAAAGGGTTAACTCAAGATCCTTTTTGTGGAAACTTTTGGTTTCGATAGCATTTGTAGATGTTGCACATAACTTTTCAACTGTATTCGAACTCACTGTAGAGCCCAGTGCCTCGTCACTTTCCTAAGAGAGGAAAAAAATACTTTTTTTAGTTATATAAACCTGAGATTCTTTGACCTTTTTTAACCATTGTCCACTAAGGTAGGATAAATGATCCCATAAATTACTATGCTACCTATTTCCACTTTCAAATGGAAGAAATAAACAATGATAACAGAGAATTACAAAGCAATATAAATAATTATAGTATAAGCTCATATACATTATTTTGAATGAAACACTGGTCTAAAATTTAAATCAATTATCTATAATACTTATTTTGGTAGTGTAGTACATGTTACTCAAACAGGACAAATTAACAAAAAGGCAACCTACTCAGGCAAATTTGGGGGTAAGACTACATTATGTATGTGTCTGCTTTGCAATAAGGGTATACATGATTCTGTTTTGAATAGTAAAATGCACAGGGCTTGAAGTCTAGTCAATGAAAAATTATAGACCAAAAATATTGTTATTGTAGACATGTTACACTTCACACAAGTATAATAAAACCAAGCTTATAAGGATGAAGGTGAACTAAGGGTAATTTATAATTACGAAACAAAAATAGCAGGAATTAAAATCCATTGTCAACAAGATGAACTGATGACGCATTAATAACAAAATGCTTTTATCGAAAACTGAATTCCAACTATCTGCAGGTGCTCGTGTGCATTAAGAGCTCTGTACGTAGTACTGCAAACCGGTACGTGGTGACCAGGACTTTTACAATATTACTCAAGTAGAGTGAGTCTTCAGGAAACTCTCATAGTGCCTATTTTTGATGTGTGAATATCAAACTTTATTAACTATCATTAACTTACTTAGGAATAATAAGAAGCACTTGGTAACAGCAAAAAGGAAATTCTTGACTTACAACTCACTGATCTGCACGCACAGAAAATGACTCATTTGGGGATCAGTATAAGGCTTATCAGAGAGACCCTCACGGTCAGTTATCACTCCTCTGACAGTAACTTGAGAAGCACTGGGATAATCCGACCATCGACTTCTTCAGGGGTGTAGAAGTGGGAGGAAGAAGTAAAGCTGCATATAAACTGAAATAGTATACAGTATGCTTTCTTAATAGGAAAGAGGTGTAATAATAGTACTAATGAAAATCTCTTTATCTTGCAGCATGTATTACCCATATTACAGACTGTAAAGGGAAAAGGAAAAAAGATTGACAAACCTTGCCTTAACTAAAAGTTAATTTGGCCTTGCTCATAAAATACAAATAACTAATAATAATGAAGTAAATCCTATTACTAAGAATGAGAAACAAATAGAATCCAAATTATTTTATCAAATAGAAGATTTATTCTTTTTTTTTTTTTTTAAGAGACAGGGGTTGAGGCTGGGCGTGGTGGCTCACACCTGTAATCCTAGC